GAGCCATACCGGAACGGACAATGTAGTGGGGAGAGGGACGGGGGGGGGGGAGTAGGTTAAACCAAGAAAGGTCGACCGACAAAGGGATCGCAAAAGAAGTGGGAGAAATTGCCAAGTTGACGTGGATGATAACGGTGGATTCACTAAATATAGAAAGCAGAATACATGAAAAGTAGCGTCACCATATTCATTGACCACGCTTTCACCAAAACCGTATTACAAGATACCCTTATAACCTCAAAGGCATGCCTACAGAATGTCCCATACCAGGAATCTCTTCACCTTATGTCAGCTATTTACTTAGCGACCCCTTTCGATGGGCATTTTCCCGGGGTCACTGCATATCATTTACTCCGGCGCCGGGTCGTAGCTATCAGGCTGGCGGCGGTCCGAGCCGGGCTCGAGTTACGCTGTCGTTGGCCGGGCCAATAGCCTGTGACCGGCCGGCGGCCGGCTATTCCAGGCCGACACCCTCCTTCGATACGGGGGAGGGGACGTCGGTGGGGGGGGGGGGGGGGGCGACTCCGCTGACACCCTCCTTCGATACGGGGGAGGGGACGGGGGAGGGGGCGAGTCCGCTGACACTCTTCCTTCGACAGGGGGAAGGGCGCGGGGGGCAGGGGAGCTTCCGCTGACACTCTACCTTTGATAGGGGGAGGAAGGTGGAGGGGGACCCGCCTCAGCCAACACTCTTCCTTCGATAGGGGAAGGGAGCAGGGGGGGGGGCGTCTTCGCTGACACTCTCCTTCGATAGGGAGAGGGAGCGGGGGGGGGGGCGCATCCACAGACACTCTCCTTTTATAGAAGGAGAGAGGGAGGTGAGGAAGTAGTCGTCTCCGGTTAAAAGGCGTGATGATAGCGTTTAAAAACGGCGATAAAATATCAACAACCTTCCGTTATCCAGCACAACTGACAAATTTTAGGAGTCGAAAGTGAAATAATTAGGAGTGAAACAGCATTATAGCAACCAGTGATGTCAATCACAAGTAATTTGGAAACCGATACCAAACCGAATACCAACTGAACCCTTGACAAAATACCAAAACCGAACCAACCCGCGAATTCAGGAGAACTACCAACTTTTTACCAAATTTCTAATGTTGAATACGTTACCAAGTCCTCACAATACCAACAAAATACCAAAATTGTTAGGTTTGAAATACCAAATACCAAGTTGGTATCGGTTTGGTATCGGTATACCAAATAGTTGGTATCCGATTGACATCTCTAATAGCAACACCATGTCACTTTCACCGTGTATCGCTAACGGCAGTTTCATGTCTAATGCCTGATGCCTATAGAAAACTATGGGTCCCCGTCGATGCTTCGATAACAACGATTTGTTATGGATTGTCTAAACAAATTAATGGCGCGCTTCAATAAAAAGCAGAAACTGGTCGAGTTGCAAGCTATACTGCAGAAATGAGGCTAACCGCCGCTACCACAGAAAATCGCTGACAACGGCAAACGTCAGCGGGCGCAGCGGCCCAAACCAAACACCAATCTCCGAACGAAGCAATCACGGAGCCAATAAAGTTCAGTCTGTAGACAAACAAAGCCCGGACAATTGACAGTTAACTCCGGCCCCGTGAGACGGACATCGTCCAAAGGAGGGGAGACGGCCGACCCGCCCCAGACAGCGAGCGGGCCGATGGACCAGACTGCCGACTAGCCGGTCCATGAAACTGTCTGAGATCGACTCGACGACCGGCGACACGACGAACTACGGGAGGGCGGGTCGAATCACGGGGTACTGTCCTGTTCCACGGCTCGTGAATAATAAACGGTAGGAATTAGGCTCGTTCACTCTTGAGGGGGAGAGTGTCGTAGGTCATCATGACGAGAAAAGATAAAGGATGTCGATGATTTATATATACGAAAATAAATGATGATGATCAGTTGATCACAAAAAAAACAGCAGTCACCGTCATTTCATTCCTCGGATATAAGCCCCCCCCCCCCACACACACACACAAAACTGCAGTGATATTAGCAACGGTGATTCGGGCATGTCCGAAAAATACGGGTCGAGGGTCACAAAACAAGCAAAATAAAAACCAAACATCGTTACAACGCATCCACACTTCACAGCATATTCCCCATCGTGCCCCTCCCGCCCCGCGGCGCCTGACTGACCAGCATGTGCGGGGTCTGCAGAAGCCGGAACAGCTCGACGGCGTCGGGCTCGGTGAGGCCCTTCAGCTGGATCTCGCCCATCACCTCGAAGGCGATATCCTCGGCCGTGGACAGCACCGGCTGGCACTGGTTCTCCACCATCGTCGACATGATGGTACTGTGCGCCTGCCGTAACGCAAACAACGTCACCAGCGGGAAATGATCGGCGGTATTGTACAGAACATTGGGGTAATACGAGTCGAGTACGTATCTGCCAACGTCAATACGAACTCTTTAACGAATTCAACAAATAATTTCAAGGGCTCCGCCACGGACTTTTGGTTGGGGGGGGGGGACGGTCTGCTCTTCGCCCATCGCCCTAGTGTCTCCTCTACCCGTAGGGTTTTCAACAAAAATACGACCTGCTTAAAAACAATAGTTAAGTTGAAAGATGTATCTAAGTAAAAGCTATCATATTTACTTTACACATTTAATGCCTGAAACCGAATCGAATAGTAAACATCACCACTAAATCTAAACAAGCCTTCCTCGATTCGACCGACAAGTGGCGCCTCTACCGGCAAACACACGTACTCGAGATTCAAACATTTGACACAGAGGTCATTGGCAGCAATATCCAACAACTCATCTACCTATCTGGGGGTTCTGAGTTCTTGTTACATCGGACAAATTCTAGTTCGGGCACCTTTTTTTCATGGTATAGCAGGGTTCGCACTTCACAAAATGAGGAACGCTTCAAAATTTCGGGTGGTGCGTTCCTCTTACTTGCGTTCCTTTGAAAAACTTTGCGTTCCTGCGTTCTTGCGTTCCTAAAAAGGCGGTGCGTACGTACGCAATAACGCAGGAACGCACTAAAGGAACGCACTTGCCCAGCTCTGCTTATTTGACCGATGGAAGTTTCCTCTAAAAGAACGAACGCGTTTACCCGAAAGAATAATCTCCGTATTGAGCGTTTAATTGATTGAGAGATCCGTATCTGATATACCTACTGGATTACCTACTGGATATACCTACTGGATTCATCATCGGAATGGGACGTGTGATTGCGAACATTCGTCAGTAGACTCACGTTGATATACCTAACGCGAAAACGCCTGTCGATATGGTCTACAAAAAAACCAAAATCCGTGGCCCCCATAACAGAAAAAGACTAAAAGCACAGCGACAATATAGTTATCGACGACAGTTTTTTCTTCGGAGATTCTTTGCACCTATGTTCTGTATTCGGTGTCAGGAACAAGAGTCGATCTGTCTACCAGCGGGAGAGCCGATTATTGGGGGGGGACAAAAGATAGTATGTCCCACCCAACATTTTGGTTGGGGGGGACATGTCCCACCCGTCCCCCCCGGTGGCGGAGCCCTTGAATAATTTGACGCTTTGCGGTTGAATATATAAATGGGAACGATGACACTTCGTAAAATGTAAGTCTCATCTCACTATTCAGCCTCTAGAAACAACCCTTCCCTCTCTATCTCGCTGGCCTCGCTCACCTGCACAAGACTCTGTAGCTGAGAGCTCTGCAGGAGGTTGGCCAGGAAGCCAAACTCCTCCTCGCTGCTGCCGAGGGAGGAGCGCAGCCGGCCCAGCTCCGCCACCACACCGTCAATGTCTGCAGAAAACACGGCCGTCAATGTCAGAGACCATTGTACCGGCAACGTCTGCAGAGAATGCTCAACAAAATGCTCACTCATGCAATCTAGGCAGGCCTTACTATCCCGGGGCCAAGCTTACTGGTAATGGACATGGTCAGTCAAAGCAATGTCAGCAAATATGACAAAACCTAAAACACACATAACTGAACAAAATACAGCACACTCCTTACTATACTGCCTTGCTCCTTACCAAGATCATAGTCACTGTGTCCATTGGCCATGATTTCTTCACTCCCAGTCATGCCAAGCATCTGTGGAACAGAAGAGCAATGATAGTAATAAGATGTGAAATCACTGTTGCCTATTAAATGTTGAATTGAAATGAGAGGTAGGTAGGCACCTACCTAATACCACATTTTATATATTTAACTTAAACAGCAGAAACCCACTTCATTCTAAAAAGCACTTATGAAGCCACAGCTTGCATCACTTAGAGGATGGATGTCACCTAGAAGTTTGTAGCATAGTCTATTGTGCTGAAGTTATTCAAGGATGACTTGTAATCGGATACACTTTGAATGAACGGAACATCACAGGGAGCATTCCAAAACACATTGAACTACAAAATGCTAACATATTAAGCTCTAGAATCTGGATTGTCAAGACTCATGGTAACACCCTGGTTTGTTAAGGGCTCAAAAATTTTAAAGCAAAGCAAAAAAGGAAATAAGTCACCAGGAACATCAGTAAATCACCATCTGAGTTTGAGTCGTCTGATTCAGTGAACTGGAACTGGAACAGTTCGTCGAATAATTCAATACCATGGCAGGCATTAGCAGGAATTAACGCTGTGTACCTTAAATTGAAGGGGTGACAGGCACTATATCACCGCTGTGTAGCCATTTCCATAGAATATCCGTCCTCAATACAGCTTATACCACCGCAGCCACCGCAAACAAACTGAAAATTCAATGGCCATCAGCGGAATAAATGCAAAATAAATAAAAGTGCGCCATAACTGTCAAAAACAGTAGCTCCACTTTTGTATTTACAGCGCCCCTAGCGGAAAAATGAAACTTTTGATATTGGTAATACATTTTTATGTGTTTAAGCCAATAAAGTATATCAATTATTAAAAATGTGCATCTAATATGTTTTCTTATTTTCAAAAATGAAATTAAACAAAGAAAAATTTATCTAAAAAATAAAGAAAATCATAGTAATATTTCCCCTGGTAGATTTGCTGGAAAATAATACAGCTCCTCTAAAACATTCCTCTTCCGCGAACTTTTGTGAGTTGTTGATGCTATTGGAGTGGGGGGTGAATGGGTGTGAATTGATGATGATGTTTCATGATGTTTCACATTATTTTCTGTGATTATGTGTGGCTGATTTTCTCTCGTCACGCTTGCTGCTTATGGTTATATGCCGTGACGTCTGACAGACATGCTACAATCCAACAAAATAATCAAAATTGAAATACCAAGCTTGAGTTTGAAAATGTGATTTTACTAAGCCAGGTGGCCTTTATTCCATTCAGGACTGTAGACTCAAATGATTTTCAGTAACATCAACTCTTCCTTTTTAAAAAATCATGCCAAACTCGAGCACAATATTGCAGGCATCTCGCATAATATCCTGCTGGCTCATGCCTGAGATGCCTTGTCATTACCAGCATAATTATTTTCCTTGCCTGTGCCTCACAACAGCGTACATCACAGTCATGCATCTAAAAGATCTTACTGTGCATAAAGAAACTTCTATCACATCGGCACAGGAGTAGGTACTGGGGTACCATCAAATTTCCTTCAAACTTGCTTTTATCAAAATGGCCAGGGATGCGGAGTCGTGGTAGCGATTTCCGACTCCGACTCCGACTCCGACTCTGGGCTCCTGGTCGGCTCCGACTCCGACTCCGGGTCTGATGCGAAATACGACGCAATCATTAACACTGTCCAATCATTGATCACAGTTTTTTTCATAATCTTTTTTGATACATAGTCACTCATCCACATTCATCACACCTTATAAGAAACAAACAAAACATTTAAAATTGCCCTGTGCGGCCCACCTGGCCAGGTCGGGCGGCGCCCTAATCCCGGCAAACACCACCCAACCCCGGGGAGAGCTGGGGGATACCTCCCCGACCGGGGAGATCTGTGGGATACCTCCCCAGATCTCCAGATAAATTTATTTCCAGCAAGCAACGCCACAAATTTTAATAAGCTTCCCGGAGTCGGAGTCAAGGCAGCCTGGTCGACTCCGACTCCGACTCCGACTCCGGGCTCGCTACTACGACTCCGGGCGACTCCGACTCCGCATCCCTGAAAATGGCAGGGGTCCCATTTTGATTTGGATTTTCTGCCTTTCAGGCTCACATAGCTTGCCTGAAACTGGAGTGGGTATGTCATCGGATTTGATGAGATTTAACAAACAATAAGAATCATTGAAAAGAAATGATTTTTACACACAGGGTTAGAACATGATTTGTAAGCATTGCAATATTGATTTTTAAATCAGATTTTATAAGAGGTTGATTACTAGCTCCATCGGGAACTGTTGACTCTGGCTTAACATCCCTGATTTCTTGGTGAACCAGTCAAGAGTACCTAACTGAGGCATAACTGTAGCCTGATCTCATGACATTTGCCCCCTTTCCAGGCAGTATTGGTTCAGGTAACACCTGACTGAAGGCTGCCTTCATCAGCATCATGACAGTACTAAGTGTGCTCCGCACTGCCGCCCGCCCGGCTCGGCTGGCCATCACCCAAAACTCGCGGCAAGGTAAATTGCTGATCTTTCATTTGGCATGGCATTCATGAGAACAGTGTTTTAGTGGCACAGTGGAATTCAGATTTGACTTTTCTCCAGCATTGATACTTCTTTAATGTTTAGCCCTTGAACCCTCCAAACATTCTGTGATGGTTTGGATGTGTGCATTTTCCTGAGTATGCTTTATCTGCTGGTCATTCCCATCTCAGATCATGTTATTTAAAGTTATCAAGTTATTTGTGCCGAAATAATGCTCCGCACGCTGACGACTTTCGACGACTTTTAACGTTCGGCAGTCGCCAAAATGAGCGATCACCGGGCGATGAACATCATCCCGTCGCGCTTCCAATGGAACAAGTTCAAGGACATGCTGCACCTGTACTTTGTGGGCGCGGCCATCCCGCTGCTAGCCGGTATCGGCATCACCAACATGATGGTCGGTCCGGCCACGCTGTCCGAGATCCCCGAGGGCTACGTGCCACGAGAGGACGAGTACTACAAGTCACCCATCACACGCTTCCTGGTGCGCAACTTCACCCGCAACGAGCAGATGGAGTACGAGAAGAAGATGCAGTACATCTGGGAGACCGAGCACAAACGGCAGCTTAGGTGAGAGCAGACGTGAGGTAGAGTTAAGACGTGAGTTGGCACTGACTGGCTGAACGATATGGATGTTGAGGTATTAGCTCGTTTCCTCCACATGACTGTTTTTTTTATTACATGTACGATATTTATAGCACGGGTATGCAACGAAGTCCATCGAGGCATACCGATAGACCGATGCATACGGAGGCCGATGATCCAAATAATACTTATCGTCCTTGGAACAGGCTGCGACGCATGTGAGCGTTAGGTTGGATGAAAAATCAATTACGCTTGTCATCTGCTCTTTGTTCATCCACAATCGACAAAATATCCTGCTATCTCCTCACTCTGTTGGACACTTAGCACTGTCTCCCTCCGTAGGCTGATTGAGAAGCGCGTCAAGAAGCTGATGGCCGAGCGCGGCGACTACAAGGCGTGGTACTACACCCCTCACATCGCGCGCAAGTACCAGCGCATCGTACGCAAGGAGACGGAGGAGCTGATGGAGCGGCGACCAGCCGCGTAACCCGAGCCGCGCGCCGCGCCGGACCGGGCAGGTTGTTCATGGTGTACCTACTGGACGTGTAGCCGGGCCGTTTTACTGGCTCCGTGTGTGCCGAGTGTTTTGATGCAATATATAGCTGAGACGTCGTGATAAGATGGTTGTTCTAGCGAGGAGTGAAGCGTAAATGGAAGAGTTTTTAGGGATGATGATCGATTTCTTATGGTTTTAATCAGCATTCACTTCGTTCACAAAACATTCGTCCCAGTTTGATAGTTCGCTAGTAGATTATCTCGTTGATTCCTCATCTGCAGCCGAGAAACACCGTTTTTGTGATATCACATATATTTGTGAGGAACCACATCACACAGCCACAGGACACGGTGGCATATCAGGATCGTCACTAGAACGTCAAACATCGGCGAGACGCGTGCACGGTGGAGAGATGTGCCTCTTGTCAGGAACGGTGACACAACGACCACAGAATGGTGTACTGGTGAGACACATTCGAGTCATATTTGAGTGTTGACCATAGAGAACACGACAATGTGCGAGTGAGTGGTCACTGCCAATGAACTCGCAGTCAGCAGAGCTGTTTCTGACAGTTTTAATTTCGAAAGATGTCAATAAGTTTGAGTTTTTCTCCGCCATATCAGAACAGGTCCCATAACCGAGCGTTTCCGCGGATCAAGCGTCCTTTCACTGATTTGTACGTCTTGGATTGTCAGCGTCAGGAGGGTAAGGCAAACCACTGGTAACAGAAAAACGATAACCCGAATATTTCGGCCAAGAAACAGAACTACTAGCGTACGGACTAGTAGTACGGACCGGTGTGATTGCGATGACATCGGTACTGACACACAGAGCCGATAATGAAGCTCCACACAACTAAGGCGAGAAGCTCTATGTTTACCCTGGCCACTCCCGAAGCGACAACGAAGCAAACAAAACAAACGCGCGTACCAACCAACATGACGACGATGAGGTTCGAGACAAATTTGCTCCTCTTCGCTGACCTAATCGGCCTTTCAGAGCGTATGATACATTTGGCCATTGAAGCCACACCACAATGAACCATGACCGGCCCTTAGCCACAGTAACAGATGCTAATGCAACAAAGCTGGTCCGCAAAACCCCCTCAACTTAAACATTTGTACGCTTTATCGGCTGTCCGAATGACTGGCGTTCAAGTTGGCCAACTCAACTACACAGCATCTGACCAAAATATCCTATGAATTACAGTTATCACACAATAGGATTCTTATCCGTACCGTACACAAAACATCGACACGCAGGCTAGTAATTGGTCGGGCCGACTTATCTCATACCGCTGCAGCGGGAACCCGACGTTCACGATTCAGTTGTCGCTGGCTCGCTAGGTACCATCAGATCTTCGTTGGGATTTAGCTGGCCCATCCATTGAGTGTAGTTGAGACCAGAAACGGTTCCATCCTCAGGGAAAAAACTATGCCGGGCTCCTGCGTCCATCCCTGAACCACGACCAAAACGCTGACATTTTCCCGAGAACGACCAACGCCCGCAGCACGGATACAAGAAGAAAGCGTGCGTCTTGTGCAGCAGCGGCGGGCAAGAGAGGCCGATACAATAACACTGACAAACCGCTCCCGTCGGCGCCACTCCCTCTGCCCCGGGTGTCGTCCAGGGGCAGAGGGCGGGTCGAGGCGCTGACCACTGACTGGCTCCGCTCTGCAGAGGAGCGGAACTACACGTAGAACAGGCGGACCTGGGAGGTGGAGACCAGCAGGTCGTCGTCGAAAAACTGGGTCTCGATGATGACGTTACCACTGTGAAACAACGGGGGAGAGTTAGCGGGATCGACAATATTGGCCTGGAAAAATGTTATGTTATGAAGTTATGTTATGAAGTTGTTATGAAGAACCCTTTAAATATATTCAGCATTTTGCCGATACAAGCAGTCGTATCGTAAGAACTAGCAACCTGAATAACACAAATAGTTGTCTGTGACAACACTATGAATGAATGAATGAATGAAGTTGAGCATGATATAACTACGATGACTATTGCGCCTTCATCGCTGTCATAGAATGACTGACAGATACAAGTGATAAGCTAATGCATCGGGACGATGGGAAGACGACAGGTCAAAACGGTAGCGGTAGGTTTGAATGTAACAGTGCGTGCCCTATCGACATTCTGCAGCACTCACTTGAGCACGTTGGCCGGCATCATCTGGCTCTCAGGAGCCGCCTCGATGACGCTCTGCCAGGTGTTGGTCGAGTTGGGGATCACGTAGCCAAAGTCAAAGGACCACTCCTCCAGGCAGCGACCCTGGTGAGGGTGACCACATAAAGGACATCAGTTGATAGTTGATACATAGATCAGTTCTCTTGGAATCATAAAGAAACTGGCAAATGAGCAGGGAGGGAGTTTACATGTGCTCTCTGGTCATCCATTACTTCAATAGGTCTCACTTAAGGAATAACAAGCTGTAAGGGACTCTATTTATATCCTTTACTTATATGAATGAATGCTTCTTATCTGTGGTTTCTTATGCAAAAGTTAACAGATATTCGGGCTCGTCGTAACTCGTGTTGTCATACCTTGAAAAGGACACGCTGCTCTAGTCGAAACCGCTCCATCGACTCGGCGGAGGTGAAGTTGATTTCCCGCGAGATCGCACGACATTTCAGGATCGTCTTGGGCACGCGGGCTTTATGCTCCACGTCCGGCAGGGACCTGAGATCCAGACGAGCCACAGTTTAACGAGATAAATCAGCAATGATAATGGAGCAGAGTTCACAATGATTGAATGAATGAATGAATGAATGAAGAATGGACAAATAAGAAAAGATAAGGTGGCAGCATATAATATTTCATCACATTCAACTTGGGATATTCTTATCAATTTAAAACAAATTGTCAGAGAACAGTCTGAGAACAATCATGCCCTTTGTCAATCACCTTGAAAACTACCTATCAAAATAGCTGAGAAGTAAAGGTGGAAAACTGAGAGACAAAACAGAAAAATATGAGCATTAGCAGGCTTTAAGAAAAAGCATAAGAACTGAATGCCTATACATAAAAGCATACCAACAAATTAGGATGAGAGGAAGGGATACTCACAGATCTTCATTTCCTTGCCACAGGATTTTCCCATCATCAGCATCTCTCAGGTTCATCCAGTTACTGCATGTGTCTGGTTAAGGAAAACAGCAGACCACAATATCCATGTAGGTATACTAAGAACCACAATATGCAGTACCTATGCAACATGTTATAGACCTAGCCTAGCTGCAAAAAATTCACAGTGAAATATCATACGTATGTTGAAACAAATTAAAGTGAAACTTTCACTTGTTAGCAAGCCAGAAGATCAATTGTTACCAACAGCAACAGGTAAATTGGTATTGTTACGAGCGAGCGAGCGCAGCGAGCGAAGTGAGTCTTTTCAATATAACGGAAAAATCTCAGTATGAGCGGCCCGGCCCGGCCTGTAACGCTTTTGAGAGGCTTATATCTCAGCAACCGCTGGACCGATTGGCCTGCGGTCTTTTTTGCTGGGTAGCCCCATTCCTTCTACCCCGTAATTGACTACTTTTGATACATCTCAGTGACCGTCGTGGCACGTGCCACGTGAAAAGTCAAGGGTGTTCAAGCTGTTTTGCAAAAGTAGTGATTTTGAGAGGCCCATATCTCAGCAGCCGCTTGGGCGATTGTCTTGCGGAAATTTTTGTAGGGTAGCTGCATCCCTTCTACCAAAGGTCGGATATTCTTGATCTATGTGAGGGACCCCCACTGCACGTGCAAAATGCAAAAAGAAGAGGTGCCAAATTTGTTCCCATTTCAATAACTCGGTAATTACTGGGGCGATTTCGCTGAAACTTGGCATACAGGTAGGCACCCACCAGGCAATGCATTCCCATGTGTTGCGGTTAGGGTGCTACTGCACGTGCGCACGTGCAGGGGGCGCTCCCAGATCTCGAGAACGGCTGGGCCGATTGCGCTCAAATTTGGTACACGGTTGGAGACCAGTTAGTAGGGTGCCGTGCAAAAGTCAGTTTGGACCCCTTTTGCACGTGCACACGTGCAGAATGCCGCTTCCAGATCTCAGGAACGGCTGGGCCGATTGCGTTCAAATTTGGCACACCGCTATCGACCGGTTAGAAGGGTGCTTTGCACAAGCCCGTTGGAAGTACCCTCTCGCCCTTGCGCACGTGCAGGGCTCACTATCTCGCTCGCTCGTTCTTCGCCCAAAAGGCGTTTTACTGGTATTTAAAAGAATGTAAAACAAACCTAATGCCCATCTGATGCAAATTGGCAAACAAGCAGCTGCATGTGTTGTGACAAGGACAGCTAAGCAGGAAAATTGGAGATAAACATAGGTACCCAGGCTCTCAATTCTCACACCACATTTTGACAAAGGATACACCTGAAATCCTTTTAAAATATCTTCTGCCTTCGCTGGCATTTTGTCTGCAAAAAACATAAATGATCAGTAAACACTCTTGAAAAACTGGTATTCATTGGCTGGGTTACTCTTCTCCCTTAAACACTGACACCATGAGCCAATAAATGGGAACTATAAACAACATATATTTATGATCATGCACCTTCATATTTCACTTTGCGACTGTCAATTGTGATGAAGCAAATACCTTTTGTTACTTGCTACTTTACAGCCATCATTAAATCATTAATTATTTAATGCTAGTCATTAAATTGCTAGTAAGCTAACATTTAACACATTTATTGCCCGACATTGGACAATTCTTGTTCATACTTTTTACTTCAACTTATGATTTGACGACCAGCCATCCACAATAACAATTTTCTAACAATTGTTAAGTAATGTTGGATGAAAGGTCTTTGCAACATTGATAATCTCAACCTGCCTATTTTCACTTTAATTAACTCAAAATTGCAAGGAAAGGCACAGTGACGACAGACGGCTCTCATTGAGTCGACATTCCAGCCTTAGCTCCGGATATATATGCGACTTGCCTATGACACATGTTACTCAACACCTTACCAGATTTTTTGGACGTCCTAGCTTTATCCAGGTTGCTTTATTATCGCAAAATTGAGATAGAAAAACACTGACTTCGCAACCACCGAAAGAGCTCTCGGCGCGTTATTGATCAACTGCGCCAGTTTGCAAATAACAGCGTCAGTTTTGGGGCATCGATCAAAGCAGACAGCGCAACTAAAATATGTATGGTATTGAGACATTATGTGGAGCACGCGTGAAATAAGTACTCCATCATTTGGTTAGTGTCTAGTGGGCACTCAAACTAAAAATTAAAGTAGAAATTAGAGCATGCTGAATGCCTACTACATTAAGCCAAAACTGCTTGCGTCTCTCTTGGTTTTCACATGGAGAAACGGACTCTGACACCGACGCGAGTCGGGACCGAACGACATTGTAACCCTAGAAAAATACCATTAGAAACCCGTAGAAAAATACCATTAGAAACCATCAGAAACAGCAAGAACAATGCTTATCATTATAGAGGCTTTGCTCGCAAAAAAGTTATAGGCCATATTTCTTGACCTTGAAATTTTAACGTCGGGACTCGGGACTGTTAAATGTATCTTCACCCGCATGACGGTGAAACGGCGACAACTCAGCATGCAGCAACCATCAGACAAGACGGCTAGACATTAGCGAACCAGTTGTTAGAGATTCATTGCAGCCTCACGGACGGGTGAAAAGTGGCCGCCCATTAACGCTAAGCTAGGTATTGACCTTACTGCGGGAAAGTCATACTGATTACTGAATACTGATACAATCAATTTACAATTAAACGAGGCCCACGACACATCGCGACACTGACGGATCCAGAAAGGTAGTCTTGGACGCTGCTGGGGGGGGGGGGGGGGGGAAGGGATTTGCCCCAAACGCCCCCCCCCCCCTGGATCCGCCAGTGCATCACGAGTCGATCGTACGTATACGACATGTGACGAATGTTATCACTCAACTGCGAAAAAACCCTTGCAACATTTTAGCAGCACTTTATTGTTCACATGAGAGGTAACCTACTAGCTAATCACATAACCTTAACGATGCGAATTTATAGAGTCATGAGGTGAAGGATGATAATGATGCTCCCTTTTGGCGATGCTCGGGTGTACGAATGCGAGGGTGACGCGCCCCTGCCGCCGCGGCCGGGCCGCGACGGTAGAACTGGCGCTGCAACAAACACTCAGCTGAGACCGTACAAAATAAAGCGGCACCATTATCCCGACACAGAGTGCATCAGCGGACTTCGTCCCGCGCGCGCCGCGCGCTCCGACCAACCGGCGCGCCACCACCGCTCGGCGGCAGCCAATCAGCGCACGCCAGTCAGCCTCTCGTCCAATCAGCGCGCCGCCGCCACTGCGCCGGCCAATCCGGCGCCAGGAATCGAGCCTGTCGACCAATCAACGTGTCGCGCTACCGACACCGACACTTAGCCACGATGAACGGGAAAATGCGGTACGTATAAAACCCTCTCTGTCAGTCAGTCTGTGTGTGTGTGTCTGGGGTCGGTGACCGGCTCACGCCGTCGACATGGGCTCGGGCGCCGCGCTGGCCGCCTGGTCGCCGCCGCCGGCCGGCTTCGTCTCCGGCTTGGCCGTCTCCTTGCCGTCCTCGGCCTTAACCTCAGCCTCCTCGGCGGGCGCCGGCTTCTCCGGAGAGCCGCCCTCCGTGCGCAGCTTCTTTTTCCGGGCCGAGCTGCGAAAAAGACATAATTTGTCATCACAAAGCAAACAACAAATCATCCTGCTGGGCCACTAAAAAGCTTACCCCCATAAAGTCATGTCTCACTTTCAACATTATAATTCCACACATCATAAACATGTCACTAACCAAACATCTCCTTTAAGTCCAACTCCTAACATAAGTAAAAATTCACATACCATACACACAGCTAAAATCGGTACAATCGAAACTAGTAACAAATCCTACTCAGAGGTACTCAGAGGTTCCAACCCTCCCCAGTTACTCACCGTTCGTCGCGTCGGCCGCCCTCGCCCTCATCCTCACTGTCGGAGAACTCGTTGTCGCCCTGGACGCGTTTGTCCGAGGCGCGGATGCTGACCCGCTCGTCGGGCGGGTGCGTCTTGTCCTCGTCCTCGTCTTCCTCGTCATTGACGGCGTCCTCGGGGATCGCCTGGGCCTGCGGGAGCCGGTGGTAGAGTGGTTAGGGTTCATCCATGATCAATTCGCCCATGAACATCCACCTTTTGTGCTTTGCTAAAATGTGATAATTGCAGAAATCGCGTCCAGTGAACATTTCACACGCAAATACAAAGGGACAATATGAGTCAATTTGATAAATGTTAACAAAAATCCTGATCTTAATGCAATTATGCCAGAAATTGAGATAAAATACAGTAGCAACGTGGTAACGTTCATAACGAAGAATTCAATCAGCACGACTGGGCACGTGGCCCGTCAGGTCCGGCGGCAGAGCCGCTGGCTCACCTGCACTCCTGGCGCGTGCGGCAGCATGCGCAGGTTCTCAAACAGCCGCGTCTTGATCTTGTCCAGGTACTCTGGTGTGTTCTGGTTGGCCATGTTGGACGGGCTGATGTGCAGCTTGAAGTCGGGCCCGAAGTACTCGAAGTAGTCGTTGTAGGGCAGCTCGTTGGCCACGTCCACGTTGAGCGCCACGGCCGTCTCGTAGGTCCAGCAGCGCGCCACGTTCCGTATGGTGTAGCCGCCGCCGCCCAGCAGCAGCAGCGGCAGGTTGTACCGCTTGATGAACTCCACACACTTGGCGTGACCTGGGCCCGGGACGGAAGGGTGTCAGAGGTCGCTGGAAGGCGGGGAAGGAAACGGCGGTTTGGATACACTTACACATCATGAGATTCTGGCGCGGGTGGGGCGAACCGAAGTGCAAGCCAATCCGCACCGGCCAGTAGTCAGCCCCGGGCTAGTCTCACAGCCAAGCTGAAACTTTGATACAATACGCACAAAAAAAAAAATCCAACCACAATTTAATGCGCCATAAACTTATGGCTCATTAAGACGATTGCTTAAAAATGTCGCGCACAAACAAAATCTTGTTTACTTTCTCTTCACATGTCATATTGCTAAGCAAGAAAAACGACCCATGAAAATATTGTTGGATAACAATCAACACCAAATCACAGTCATGTATAACCCAGTCACCATGCAGAAACCTCGCAACTCTCCGCTCATCAGCACATCGCACGTACCCTTGAGTGTGAGGTTGAAGCAGCCGAGCCGGTCGCCGGAGAGCGAGTCGGCGCCGCACTGCAGCACGATCGCCGACGGCTGGTAGGTCTCCATCACCTTGGACATGATGGGCACGAAGATCTGCTCGTACACCTCGTCATCGATGCCGTCCCGCAGCGGGAAGTTGACCGCGTAGTACTTGCCCCGGCCGGCGCCGATGTCCTGCGCGCAGAGGGAAATATGTCGTTCAGTAAAGAGCATACCGGTAGATTGGGCGATCACTGAACAGTGAACGTGGATGACAAGATATCAGCGAAGAGCCGCAAAAACCTATCGTCGATGCATAGACCACTATATATCCAGTGGTCTATATAAATGGTCGATGGTTGGTGTCAAGCTTCACCTTAAGTGCCTTAATCATACATCCATGCGTAAAAAAAATGAAAGTGTAAGTAGCTTTACATCCAGTTTACGTAAATTTCATCCCAAACTTTTCACAAAACACCCTCTCCCTCCCTCCAAATCACCGAGATCTACGGTGCCAAGGAAGTCGGTCTTCGTACTTGTGGAAGGATTTATCACACCCTCCCCCTGCGACTCACTCTGAGATCTCCGGTGCCGGGGAAGTACTCTCCGTACTTGTGGAAGGATCTATTACACCCCCCCCCCCTCCGACTCACTCTGAGATCTCCGGTGCCGGGGAAGTACTCTCCGTACTTGTAGAAGGATCTATTACCCCCCCCCCCCTCCGACTCACTCTGAGATCTCCGGTGCCGGGGAAGTACTCTCCGTACTTGTGGAATGACACCGTCATCACCCGGTCGGTGGTGTAGAAGGCCTCCTCGACGCCGTCGCCGTGGTGGATGTCGATGTCAATGTACAACACCCGCTGGTGGTACTTGAGCAGCTCAAGAATCGCCAGCACGATGTCGTTGACGTAGCAGAAGCCAGACGCCTGGGGGAGAAGCAGTCGTAAGGTGCAGGTCAGCAGAAACCTCTAGCACCAAAACATCTACCTAGTTGCTGAATGCTGAACTCGATGGCGTCGATAGATGATCTTGCACCCCACTCACAGTGATAATTTACCAGACATTCCGTCGAACGTCGATCTCATCTGATTTGATGTCGATAGGCTCACGCTAGGAGCTGAGATAAATCAACCCCATTGGTTAGTCAAGTATTTGTACGAAAATAGCGTTCCAATTATACCTAGCTAGGTATTTTCCTGCAAGCGGCTATGACACCAGTCTAACACTCTGGGCAGACCACAAGAGTTCTTGCTGTACTAAGCGCACCAACCAACCAATATCTGGCAAGCAGAATAAAGCCAACGGAAAGTTCCGACGCAATAACCGTTGGTGGTTGCGCAACACCGTGTATTTGGTCATTGCGTAACAGCATAGTTTCAGACGAGTCCAACCCTGCCAGCAATTGGGCACAGTTCCCACTACGTCAACACCAAGCACTCGCCACCCTACCGACAGCTCCACAGCTACCTACTCCGTCTCACCTCGGACTTTTTGGCGTGATGCAGACCGCCGGCCCAGTTGACGGCGATCTCTGCGGCCTGCTGGTTGAGTTTGACGGCGCCGGCCACCGAGCCGCCGGTGGACAGTTGACAGAACTCGTACAGGCCGTCAAACACCGGACAGTCCTCGCCCACGTTAACTGACGGGTAGAGAGAGGTGGGTGAGATGGGCGAACTGACGGGCGAATAAGAGTTACGACCTGTGTCGTGTATGCAAGAGCCACACCGGGCCAGGCGAATGACTGACTTACATGATAGGCAAACTACTTACTACTTCGCAAAATAGAGCCAAAGGCGTGCAAACCGGGAAAGAGGACTTATGGTATAAATTGTAAAAGAAATTAAGTACTGCGATACAGCAGCGACCGACGAATGTATTAAAGCTGTCTCTCCCGCCTTGCAATCTCATTGAAATTGTGGTATAAAAGTTATTTCATTATCTCATTTGCTAATGTGACACATGCTGAATGAACAATAGACAGGCTGCAGACGATAGAACTGACGATAGACACGCGACTTCTCTAAGTACTCACACCGCTGCATCTGTTTGTTGTACTCTGACATGTTGTCCGGCCGAATGGAGCGCAGGAAGCGAATGTAGTCGTCGCTGTGGAACTTGGTCATTTCTTCCTGCGTGGCCTTGTGCGGCCGCTATCGGCAGAGTCGGCGGGTGGGGTAAGGAGTGAAGCCTAGCAACGTGCCAATCATATCAACACACTGGACATGAGCTGAGATACTAACGAAGATAAATATAAACCACTAGTGGATATAGAACGATAGAGGTGCTTGAAAAGTTTGAAGACAATCAGAGCTAAGGAAGCGCGGTGAAGAGATTCGGCCTCAGGTAATGGAAAGAAACCCCGATATTTCAAAGACAGTTTCAACTCACGTATATCTCCATTTTCCTGTAGAGGCCATAGTTGAGAAGGAGGTTGTGTGTCATACGTATCCTGTGGGGCTTCATGGGGTGCCCCTGCCCATAGTAGTAGTTGCCTACATCGCCTGGAACACGGAATCGGCAGAGTTAATATCCTACAGGTGGAAGGTGTTTCACATCTTGGGGTTCCACGTTCACTTCGTTCCATCACTCGATTTGCGGTTTAGAGGTCATGTCAAAGGCAGTTGGTCACTTAGAGCAACCTTTGATGATCTTAGCAGTTTCTTTTTATAGCTCGCTATAAGATCCTTCAGAATTATCGTCCTTTTTCGACAAGGTCAGATCTCAGGTTACTGGAGCTCACCAAACGTAGATTCATCACGAAAACTTACACGATGATGACTACTCTTCACAAATCGGTGCATAACTCGTGAAAAAAGAGCTAGAATCGCAGAAAAGCGAATTCGACAGCCCTTTCAAAGCCTATTTGCCAACATGTCCACAGATTTGACCAAAATGAAATGCCCAGAGAGGGCAAAAATCACTAAAATAGACTGAATACCGATTTTGCCGGAACATTTTTTCCTCCATTTTTGCACTAAATTTGGCATCAATTATTTCATGATATTCATCTTGCCGTCACTGTGTTTTCTCGTCGATATACATCGAACAAATTAGTTGTTGAGTTGACATGAAAAAGTCAGCTTCAAAATTTGACCTCAGGCCAAGTCATGTGACCGGCAGAGGCATGCTGCATATGCATATTCATCGATCTGTATTAATGGCCTGAATACATACCAGGTGACTTAATCGTTCTACCATGTCACCATCAAAATTTATTATCGATTAATTGCTAGTGACCTTTTAACCCTGCGACCAGTGGCCTGTATTGGCGTTTTGCCAGCCGCTAACGCATACCAGCTCCCTTTGCCGTTCGGCTCAGTCCTGATCGAGCTAGAGCTTCGCGAAAAAAAACGAGCACGTTGCATGTGACGAGAGTAAGCCGATGCTACCCAATTTTAACCCTCGCACTCGTAAGGGGAGGGGTCGGATGGAGTCCCCCTCGGTTTTTCGCGAATAACTCGTGCAATAAGCGGCCGATCGCGACGAAACTTTAAGTACCCTCGAGTTGATCAATTTTACACCTACTCTGAAAATATCATGACCCTGACCCAAATTATCTTTAACCTGTGACCTATTTCTCGAGACCATGTTTGGCCGGAATCGCGATTCGGCGTACGTCGGCTCACATTATTCGCGCGTTTGCAGTCTTTTTGTGGTTTTAAATGTTTAAACATGTGAAATGATGTTGGTCCCATGCATCATAGTGGGTGTCAGGGGCCCACGTGAAGGTTAGGTCAGGTCAATGACCTTCGATGACCTTGGTTCACTTTTTCGAATTTTACATGTTTCTAGGCTAGTTTTTTTTTAGCTGATTTTGAACTTAGCAACCATTTGAACATTTAGGAAGTAGTTTTGGTGCCTTTGTAACATGTTACAAAGCTGTCAGTGGTAGTTAACACCTACTATAAATACCTGGCAGATAGCCTACTGGTTGACTGATCTAACCTGATCTGACCTGACACGACCTGCCGAACTGCATAAAGACATTATCTATGATCAAATCTAACATGGAATTCGTGATCGATACCCAAAGAACCCCATAACAACCAGTTACTTTACGAAGTTCTGACAGGTGATTTTCCAGACTTTTGGGTCATTGACCCGGCCTGGAAGGTCAACTGATGACATAGGACCTTAAAATCATCGTCTTTCTCTCGTCACGGTCAACACTTTGATTTTTCTGCGAAGTTCTAGCTCGATTGCCGGTCCCGTAGCTCAGTTGGTAGAGCGTTTGACTCCGCGTGGTGTGAGAGCACGCGTTCCCGGTTATAACAGTCCGGGTTCGAAGCGGGACGGGCGCTTGATATTTTTTGGCCTCTTGACAGGACGTACCTGTGGTTGCAGTTGGTGGCAGGCCGTAGCCAGGCGAAGTCAGTGAGGGGACCGGCTGTACGCGGCTATGTTGTGCGCAGTGCGCACGTTTAACTTTGGACTTTGAATTCTGTCATAGAACCGGAATTATTGTCTGACTTTCAATGACATCAGGTCAACGACACAATAGTCGGGAAAATTTGGACCTGCTAGCAGGGCTGCATAGTTGGAGTCAGTCCGGGTCAACAGTTCTGACTGGTGTCAGAATCAGTCAATTTTGGAACTCGGAGCCAGAGTTGGAGTCAAATTCACCGAAAGTCAATCAACTCCACAACCCTGCGTCAACCGTGAACTTAGCAGGAAAAGGCTACAGAATTTTACTAAGCTGGTTTTTAATTTTGTATGTAACCATTTACCTTTTTTTAGAAATTTTGTCCGAATGGATGAATGGATGGCTATGGGCCTGGGTGCCCCACTAAGCAATGCTTGTTGCGAATGACGCCACGGACCCACCACCCCACCTTGCCCGCGCCCGGTTCACCAGTGATAATTTGGATCGAAAGTTTAACGTGCCGCAGGTAGATGGCGGCACAGTCCTCACAGGTCTAGTGTGGCCCTCTCTCGCCAGTTGCCAACTGGCTCAATATAGGAATGCGAGTCAAACGACGTGGAGCTTCCCGGCCGCCAACTCGCTGCCACCGAGTTACGAGACGGACGCCTTATCCACTAGGCCACGGGGAGGACTTTTTGAGCCTTTTAACCTTAGTCATTAGTGGCATCAAAATTTAAAAGCTTTGCATACAAATTTAGAAAATGCTTCAAAACAAATTCATGTGTGAAAAATTGATCATTACAGTAGGCGGAACTATGGTCAAGCGTGCCCATTTTTGGGAACGCATTTTCGTTCCCATGTTTGGGAACGATAAACCCAAATATGGGAACGCCATGTAGGCATTGTTTAAAACAAGAAGAAGAACTGTGAAATGACGTCCAAAAAATATAAAACGATCGTGAACCGCCTGATATTTGTCTCAATATTGTTGGGAAAGAGTTTGATATTGTAAGGCCCATCGTAGCTTCAAATCGTTCCTCTATTTCTAAAGCAGTCCACCGCCCGGGCCGCGTGCCCAAATTTGGGAACGCTCTCGTACACTGGCGCTGCAAGCGTTCCTTATTATAGGAACGGCGTACCCAAAATTGGGAACGATTTCACCGACGCCTTTCACGGGCTCTTTTCATTAACAAGCATCACGTCCAACGCCGCAGGTTATTGTTAACGCAACAATCATAAGATGACCTTTCCGGCAAGACCGCCGCATGTTTCGCCGGGTCTTCTGCGCTCTTATTCCCGTCGATCCCGCAGCGGGCACGCCCCCCTCTGCAGGATTACGTAATTCACAACGCTCAGCGATGTTCAACAAGGTCTTCCATGCCTATATACACCGTCCGCGCCGAGGGTGGAGGCATGTAAAACACCTGTCTGTTTAACACTGATAGTTGACGAGCACAAGTAAGTATCCAAAAATGGGAACGCTGAAATGTTTCACTCTCAAAACACCTAGTCCCAATATAAATCTACTTTTTTCCTTTCTTAATGAGTGTAAGTGGCAAAAAGCCTGGTAGGATGGGCACGAGAAATGATCAAAATCAGCATAAAAATTATAAATAAGCCACACAGGGCGACCTGCATAAAAGAAATTCCCCCAAAACGATCGCGCTTAAAAATACCGAAGGCAAAAACCACGCTCATGACGCTCCTTAAAAGCAACGCTAAACAGCTAGCATCCAAAAAAAATATGTCTTTCAGGGTTGATAAAATACAGCTGAATAATTTTCAACCGCTTAAACTGAGTTTACAACAGTAGTTAGGTAAATTCACTCACGTTCCACGCGGTCGTCCGCTCCGACACCAAAAGTCAACAATATTACCTCGGGACCGTCCGCGTCTTCGCTTGCATTTATCAGCATCTGGTGTCGACAGTATGAAAGTTCATAACCAGGCAAAAATTATTATACTTAACCTCAAACCTAAAAAATGCTTCATTTTCCTTAAAATTGCATGTTAAATGTCGTATAACCCATATTTCCACCATTCTGTCATTTTTAAAAAATCATTAAAAATATCATTCCACGGTCAATTTCCTTGTTCCACGGTCAGATTAAAGATAACTTTATGGAGATTTAGTAGATACTTAAATCAGCGTGCACTTTTTTGAGACGTGATGCACTTATGAGTTTTAGTGGGCGAACGGCCGAAAAATTGCCTTCCGTTCTCATAAATGGGAACGCCCGTTCCCATATTTGGGAACTTTGTTCCCAAAAATGGGAACGTTCCTATATTTGGGTACTCATGACCATAGTTCCGCCTACTGATTAGGGTGGTACATAGGGTAGGTGCCTAGGCATATTTCACTCAAGCATGGATTTGAAAACAAGTCAGCAGAGAGTGGTATCAATGAAAATTACATAGCATAATTTTACAGATTAATGTAGGTGCGATATGACACACATAGATTAAACAAATACACACCAAAATATCAATTTACAAACATTAAGCCCGGCCGCCTTAAAAAATACGCAGACAATTATGGCGCACATGCATTAGTAGTTTCGCTGGGGTAAACGCGAAATGTAAGGAGTGTTACACTAAATATAAAATTTCAAGAACCACATGATATATACGTGCATGTGTACTTACTATCGTAGTAGTAGCAAACTCGCTTTTTGCTGTGCGTTGGGGCGGCCATCGCTGACCCCTCTCCGCTTCTTTGGGGCCCGGGCGAACACAGAGACCGGCGTCCAGTGACCTCTGTGTTATTGCTCAATCCACACTCAGTCTATATAGAACAAAATTGAGTTTGAATTCGTAATTTGATGTTGAATTTTTCCTCTTAAATTTTCCTTTTACGTAAAAAAGAAAAATGCTCTTTTTGGAGTTGGAAATTGATTTTTTTCTAGGTGATTTTAGAAAAAATGATGGTGTTTAAGGTGAATTTCAAATTATTGTCATCTTCAATTTTTTTTGCTTTGTTTCAATAAGTTGAAAGTATCCTAATATGATTGCAAATAATAATTTTGTGCACTTTTTGAAAGGATAATATTATAGCACTTGTGCAAACTTCAAACACAGCGCAGATTTCAATCATAACGCGCGCTAAAAAAAACAACACACAACGCGCGATCCAAGGGAACGGTCAGGAGTTTTGTTTTGGTAATTTTTGCGGGTTGTCATATTCGTTGGGAGATGGTATGTCAAAAAGCGAGAAAATGATTGTCTTAGTCTCCCAGTACCGTTTGATAATATTTTAATAGTCGCGCTGGCTTATATAGCCTTGGTCACGTTTACATAGCATTTTTGACTAGGCTGAAGGCTCTAGCGCATTTATTTTGGTTTCGCTATAATTCCGATGCAGTGATCTTCGTATCTTCAGAGAGGATCATTTTGTAAATTGTAAAGCACTAAAAGCATCTTTTGCAACATAAAGGGCAGTGCTATAGGCTTGCAACAATTCCTATGTAAACGCAGCTCAAGCTAATGACAAAGCTGTCTCAGTCTATAATTCTGAGCGAGTGTGATGGGCGATGACGAATTTTTGTTGTCACGCTTTTGTTTGGGCTGCTTATCATTTGGGACTCGGCCAACTGCCGACTTCAGCAGGACATAGAGGGACTCAGCCAGTTCCAGCGGGACCAGTTCCAGTAGTCGGCCTCGGCTGAGTCCCACTATGTTCCGCTGAAGTCGGCAGTTGGCCGAGTCCCAATTTGTCCCGCTGTAGTCGGATGAGTCCTAATATGTCCCGCAGTAGTCAGCTGAGTCCCACTTTATCCCGCTGGGACCGGCCGAGTCCCACTATGTCCCGCTGTAGTTGGCTTAGTCCCACTATGTCCCGCTGAAGTCGGCTTAGTCCCAATTTTTCCCGCTGGAATGGGCTGAGCCCCACTATAGGTATCCCGCTGAAGTCGGCAGTTGGCCGAGTCCCAATTCTTCCCGCTGGAACGGGCTGTGCCCACTATGTCCCGCTAAAGTCGGATGAATCCCACTTTGTCCCGCTGGGACCGGCTGAATCCCACAGTGTCCCGATGGGACCGGCCGAGTCCAAATATGTTCGGCTGTAGTCCGCTGAGTTCCACTATCACTTGTCCCGCTGAAGTCGGGTGAATCCCACTATGTCCCTGCGATACCGTTACCCATTCGTCATTCGGTGCATTGCGATCTCGCTGCTCTGCTCAAATCCCATCATCAATAGAAAACACGGCATCGAATTATGTTCCACTCTTGGGATTTGAACACGCGACCCCCGTCGTCACGCCAGGTAATCCCGCCCTCATCGATAGAAAACACGCATCGATAGTACGTCCGTGACCTCCAGCCATATGCACGGAAGTGTGACGCGTGCTTTACGACAGTACCGACCCATGCTTTCGTGCAGGAGTCACCAACAGCTCAATCTTGGGCTTATTGTGCTATAATTGTGTACCTACCTACCTACCTACTGCTTAGTAGGCTGCCTAGCAAATTGTTTACTAGGCACTTGTTTAGCAGATACCTTTTCTGAGATTTGCACAAGAATGACATTGAACATTTTTTCTCAGCCTTTTCAAATTATACACTATGGGACTAATGTCAAAATGTACAATTGTGTGGCTGTTCATTGCCATTGCTGTAGCATTTATACAATCAGCAGTGTTCAAGTGCTGGATGGATAGTGGAAACTCAGTGATTGAGTTTCAGTGCAAGGACAAAGAGGCTGTTGGTTCCAAGTGCCCTGTTGTTTGTTCAGCCCTGAACACAGACTGCTATCTCTATCATGCCTCAAAAGATCTTGTCAGGGTAACTGAAACAGAAGATCAGAAAATAGTACTCAAGCACAAAGACATTCCCATGTTAACCAAAGAGTATACACAGTCTCTGCTGCCTGTGGACGAGGAGCCTCCAGAAATCTTCCAAGATATGCTTCAGGGCTTGTTGGCTTTTGAACTCAATGGCAGGGACAATCTGGATATTCTGTCTCTGCTCTGGCCCTGGCATAACTCATCCTCCATCATAACTGGGCAGAACAGCCAACTCTTGGAGCAGATTGTCAGATTTGCTCACAATGATGAGTACAAGCTAATGCAGCTCCACAGTGATCTCCAACTTTTCCCTAGAGTACTTGGGACATGTGGCGACATCTACGTGGTGGAACACATGACTCTTCTACTCGATAGACCCCTGCTGGACCTTTTCTCAGCCGTCACGGACACGTGTCACGTGGCACGCAGCGCCCGGCGCATCCTCCACTACTTGCTCCACCTCTCATCTGCCCTGCCTCTCCACCTCTGCGACCTGCAGTGGGGCCACTTCGGGGCTGACGACGCGGGACGAGTCCGCTTTGTCGATCTGGACGCCGCCTTCAGCGCGGAGAAGATGGCCGCCACGCAGCGTGAGACCGTCTGCTCGAACGACGAGGATTGCGACTTTTTCGACTGCCGCGGCACGTGCGATGTCGCCCAGGGCCGCTGCCTGGGCGGTGTCAGTGATAACGTCAGCAACCTGTGCCGTCAGCTGGTGTGGGCGCGGGCGCCGCTGCTGGGCGCCCAGCGCCGGCTGGGACTGCTGGCCGCCGTGCTGAGCGAGCAGCAGGCGGAGCTGCTGGAGAGCTGCGCGCGCAGCAAGACGGCGGAGCACGCGCAGCAGGTGGCCGAAATGCTGGAGGAGCTGGAGCGGCACCTGTGCTGAGCTGGGGCTGGAGACACGAGATACTAATACTGTGATGAATTGTATGCTACGATTAAGTGTGTTATCGTACGGTGTGTTATTGCTACAGGGAGCTGGCTATAAGACTGACTCAGAGACTGAGCGTGGCTCCTTTGGTCACTGTGTGAAGTGTGACGGCATGTTTCGTAAACTGTTTCCCGCTTTTCACATTTTTACTGCTGTATTCAAGAAAATTTATCCAGGGTTTTAAATTGTCTCGAAATTGTCTTGGTCTTTCAATGCCTGATGAGTGATGATATCGGTGAACCTTTGTTGTCGTCGATAGCTTTGAAATTCACGATCTCTGTGGCCCGGCATAACCTAGGTGTGGGAGCATTGACCAGTTTGTTATGAGTGTGATTATTGTGTTTGAAGAGTTGTAAGCCTTGACAGCAATATGTGGCATTCATTGTTTGTCTTCTTGTTGTCGGGCAGTTATACTCTATCATGGTCAATACACTGGACAAAACAATGTGTCAGTAATCAAGATATTTGGTATGGCGTTACTTAGCTTTGATTTTTTTAATTGTATGAGTAATGCGCGTTGTGATCGTGTATCAAGCCACATGAATGTCCAGATTAGACGATAACATATTCCTTACCTTTTACAGGTTTGCTCAATGCTCATCGTGATTGAAGATTCCTACAATTCCTTGATTCCTAACATATTGCGTGGTTACCGTAATTAGTGCCTGCTTCAAGCTACCTACATTCCAAGAAGGGAGCTGACTCCTCTCATCCTTTGACTGTAAGTACTCAAGTTCTTTTCTCACTCCTTCAACCTCTATCTATTCATGAAGGTGACTCCGTCGATGTTGTCCTCTAATCCACGGGCCCGTTCTCTTAGTCGGTGGGTGGCGTGAGCCTGGCTGTCACGGTCCCGGGCCTGATGGGCGCTCCGCCCGGTGCTGCCATCTGTGGCGGACCTGCTCTCCGAGGTGGCGCCCAGTCTGGCCCAGTCGAACTGTGTGAACCGAATGCCGGCTGAGTGGGAGGCGAGCTGCGCTTCGGTCAGCACAATGAGGTGTGCGATGTGTATGTCCGTTATGGTGGATAATATGCTAGTCCATTCCGTACAGGTTTCTCGGCTCATTCTTGTGCCGTTCCCCACGGACTCGACCTGGGTATTCCGTCAGTAGGTAGATCTGAGTAGGTCTGATAGGTCTGAGACTCGTATGTCAGTAGGTCTGATCGATTACAACCGACTTCCAAAAAGTACATGGGCCAACGTCGGTAACTAAACTACGACAACAAGTCTAGGACTTGGGAGGAGCCGCTTGGACCAGCCCACCGCTTGATGCTGCTTTATCACGCGGACGCAGACTACCGCGTGCTGCAGGACCCGCCAGTACTTATGGTCAGCTCAAGCCCCCCTGTAACTGATCGAGTGCGTGCGCAGTTGGGTGCTCAGCTCGAGACCCCCTGTTACCGATCGAGTGCGTGCCCACCTCGATGGCACTACCGCTAGCTGACTGGTCTGGCTTGGACCGGACCAGGTATCATCCGGATCCATGACTGCCCGCTCATTATTCTGAAAATAACTACCAGTTGGAGAGGTGTCATGACACGGCGATTGATGCGCCTACTTTCTTTCTCTTTTAACTTTTTCCTGCGATGGTCGATTTCCAAGACTGGCAGGTAGTGAGTTAGCACGTCTTTGAAGGTTAACTCTATGTTGGCTCAACCCTGGCTCTTGTCGTTATGGTTATCTCCCCTTTTGCCTTCTTTCGTTCTCGGTCTTTTTCTCTCACTCGTTCTCTGTGTATCGCTCTCCCTGCCAGTTCTCTCCCTCCCACTCTCCACCCTGTGCCTCTGCTCCCACGGCCACCGCCCGCGCCGACCGCCCTGTGTGCCGTCGGCGGCGTCGTTCCATGTGTTGCCGCCCGCCGCTGTCGACGCCACAGAGTCCGATTACCATCACAATGTCGTCGATTCTCCGCGGCTCGTAAACCGACGGCGACTCGGCCGTCGGCGGCGGGAAGTGATTTGTGTAACAAACGGCGAATAAGACGCGCCTGTCGCAAATGGAATGGCCAGCCATCGGCGTCTCAATTAGGGTGTCGCCGGCGCGTCCCGAGCGCGCGCCGGATGTGGCGACGATGGCACACTAGCGGCGAAAATGGCGCACGTCTCGCTGAGCCGGATACGGTGGCCGGCAGGGCGGCGGAGCTCGCGTAGCGACGGAAGTGGCGCGCGATGGGCGATTTGCAGCGCAGGTCCGACGCCGAGCGCCGCTGCAGCTCGACGTGCGCCGTCAGAGAAACTGACGGCGATGATGTGCGCTCGGCGGGCGCTGTCAGCGGGGCATCGTCGGCTATATTTATGAGGTGTGCTTTGAACAAAATTTGATACACTGGCGCTGGGCCTGGATCAGAAGAAAGAAAAGCTTTCTTCTTTTAAGCAGCATCATGCAGACCTGTGTCCACCAGCGAATGAAACCAACTGGCAACTAGCTTAGCTACGTCCGAAGAATACAGAATAAGAATAAAGAAAATAAGATATACGGGATACGTATAACTTGCTGTGAGCCAAGATATGGCCATAGGCGCGGGAGCCGGGGGGGCAGTGGGGGCAGCTTGCCCCCCCAACTCTAGGGCCGTGGGGGCGGTGCCCCCACAGCTTTGAGACGGAATACCACACTTTTTTTTGCAAATGTTTTCTTTTTTTGTTGAAAAAGCCGAGGGATGAAAAACAAGTGGCCTAAAACCGGTGAGAAAACTAGATTTGGGGGTACCCTAGGTTGATCTCTATTATGGTGTGCCCCCCCCCCCCCCCCCAGTCGGAAAGTAGTTCCCGCGCCCCTGGATATGGCTGTTGTCTTGTCCTGCAAATCACAGCTCAAGCTATAGCTTTAATTTAGGTACTCCTTACCAGCCCCTCCTCCTCCCCCAGTAACTGCTATTGGTATAGGGTTATCATTATGCCCATTGATTCACCGAGAACACTTGCTAAATACACAATATCGATCTCCATTTTCACCCTAAGCACCGCTAACGAAAACAGATCATTCAGCGGGGAAGGTTCCCAGACTCCCCTTCCACAGCACCTCTGTGCCTCCCCTGCCGTGGCAAATCCACGGCATGTGAGCGCCCAGTGGCTCGTGACCGTCCCCTCTGTCGGGGGTGGGGGGGGGGGGGGGGCTCTGGACGGGGGTCAGGGGCCTTTGTCACTGGCGCTCTCGCGTTACCGCCGGCTGTCGAGCCGTCGCGGCGATCATCCTCTGGCCGCGATCGGTGCCCGCTCGGTCGGCGCTGATTCAGTTTATGCTCGGCGCTAATTCGATTTGCAGATCGCGGTCGGCCCTGGATCCCTTTCGGAGCTGCGCGCGCTGCTCGTCAGTCTTCGTTAGGCTCGCGCGCCGGCCGCGCCGCGCTGTCGCCGACGACGGCCGATTAAATTACCCGTCGGTCGTCGTCGATGACGTATCGTCGGCGGCGACGAACTGATTCGGCGCGCTCCATGGCGCCGGCCGGGCGACATACGGGCGGCGAGCGGGCGCATATTTTCGGACCGGACCGCGCCGGGGTGACAGCTTGATGGCGGAGCGCCGGCCGGCGACAACTCACACTGGCTGGCAGGAACTGAGCAGTAGCGTGCTGCTGGAGGACTTGCGTGATGCTGAGATTCAGTGGCTTGATGTGAGGAGTGGGTGCGTAACGAACTCTCATATTAGGTGGACTACGAGTGAAATGTTAGGCATACCTACTTTCATGGGACATGCTTTTGTTACCATATGGTTCTTGTATACTGGATAGGCTATTCAAACGCAGAGCTAATATTCGGCAAACTGAATGGACGCTAGGGCCACTTTTCGCATTTTTTTCTGAATTCGTACACTTGGGCTTCGCCTACCGGCTTATAATAGTGGTTTCGGTAGCAAAAATGAGTAACGCTCACCAGTCACCATGCGGAGTTTGAAATTAAGGTTTTATTTGATTTATCTGTCAACATGAGCCGTTTTCACGACGGCTATGTGGTACACATTTGGTTCACATTTGGCGCATATTTGGTGTATATTTGGTCAAATTAGGATCGTTGCGTTTCTTAGAAGTTGTCAGTTTGGGTTGCACAGTTGCTTGCTCTTATATACCTTTGTCAAATTATAAGACATTAATTTATGTTATAAACACTGAAATAAATTCATAATGTAAAGACACCTGATGTAGGTTTCGGACATCTTTGGATAAGTGGCTGACTTGGACATTTTTGGACGGACACGGACAGTCGACGTACCTTGGTATTGTACTCTGGACGGACATTGAACATACATTTTCTGAAACTGGCTAAGATAGATATAGACACAAATCGTTATTAGAGCACTTCATATAACGGTGCGCCCTTATTCATCGTCCCCACATTTCCCCACAAACCGCCCATCCTGTGGTCAATCACAGACCTCTGACCAGCCCGCTGTCCGCCCGCCCACCAGTCGGTCCTCTCACAGTGATGAAGTAGCGCCCCAGCCGCGATTGTCTGCCTGTCGGGGCCGCCGCTCGGTGCTCATTGCGAATTAAGTGTCCGTCTTGTGACGACTCTGTCCCGGCGCTCTGTTCCCCGCGCGGCGCGCCGCTAATGCCCCCGCCGTGGTGTATAATAAAACGATTAGCGGGCTTCCTTCCGGCCGGCCGGCTCTGGATGGGTTTGCGGTGCTCGCCGCCGCCGCCGATCTGCCATTCAATTACTGCTGCAGCGCGAGCTCTGTATCTCCCTCCCCCTCTCCCCTCCCCCTCTCCCCTCCTCTCTCTCTCTCTCTCTCTCTCTCTCTCTCTCTTTCTATCTCTTTTTCACTTACTTTCTGTCCCTCTCTCTCACTCTCCCCTCTCCCTCCCTTTATCTTACTTTCTCTCTTTCTCGCTCTCCTTTCTTTCCCTTCCTCCCTCTCTCTTTCCCTCGCTCTCCCTTCCTCTCTCACTCTGTATTTCTCTCTCCCTTGCTATCTCTCCCTCTCTGTCCCTCCCTCCCTCTCTTTCTTCCTCTCTCTCTCTCTCTCTCTCTCTCTCTCTCTCTCTCTCTCTCTCTCCTTCTCTCTCTCTCTCGCTCTCTCCGGGCGGGGACGGAGGTGTCGGAGCCGACAGCGGTTCATCGTGGGGAACCGCCGACCACTTCGTCACTCAGAGTGATTGGGACCGTCGCCGCCGACGCGACGATGAGCGACGACATGCGGTGGCGCCGAGACGAGACGAGACCGCCGCGAGCCGAGTGGTGTCACCATGCCGCTGGGATTTGTGTGAGGCGATGGGAGCTACGCTGCGATGCGCTCCTATGAGCGGGGATTGTAGAAATCAGGGCTGCGGAGTCGATGAATTTTAGGGTGACTCCGACTCCGACCCCGGCTTTAGAAATTGACTCCGACTCTAACTCCGACAACGACTCCGAACGGTTCTATTAAAATACATGCCATGATATTGAAGTTCATAATAGAGATGTTTTTATCTTGTGAAACGATGCCTTGTTTGTTACAAGTCATTGCGTTGCAAATTTGCATTAAAAATACTATAGCATATAGAGCTAAAAAGCAGGTTCTGGGGCATGGCATTCACCGTCTTCTGCTTCTTTCGCTGAAAACGTTCGTCCAAAACAGCAAAATGGCCTTTTTTCGACAAAATCTAATTTCGAGCGCAGTATCGTCAATCAAACAGGTGCAGTGCATGACGTTGAGCCATGCAGCGTTAATTCCGACTCCGGAGTTGGAGTCGGCAAGATTTTGGCGACTCCGACTCCGACTCCGACTCCGCAGTCCTAGTAGAA